TACTGTTTTATAGAGCTAAGGCAGGGCTTTCCATAGTGGGCTTGTTTAGCTAAATCACACCATTAGTTTAACAAAAATGTCGGCAAAAGAGAAGTGTTAGATTTGAGATGGAACAGAGTGGTATGTTATCTCTTTCACTAACCGGCGAAGGCCCCCAAGTTTGCAGTCCCCTTGTAGTTATCATGAGAAAAGGAAAGACTAGCAAAAGTGGCAAGGTTGAATACGGTGCTGCTATGCGATGCAAAGAAGTGATGTTATGCCCTTTAAATGCGGTGGTCCTATACTTGTTCTGGAGATGGCATGTGGATTTGGAGTCATTTCCTCGCTTTACCGATCGAAAACACTAGTACGATCTCCGTCTGCTAAAACGAAAAGGTGCAATGTGTGATATTGCGTACAATACGCAATTAGAAGGCGTGAAGACTGTATTTAGGGCATGTGGTATCGATTCGTCAGTCTGGACGCTGGCCAATCCGGGCTCAGGATCCAAGCTGGCTGAGCTACAAGGCGCGGATGAAAACCAGATTAGGCGAGCTGGTAGATGGAATGGAGAGAGAAATGGAAGCGTGCTATTTAACAGCACTACCGCGAAAGGCAATGCGCGCTTTGGCAGGGTTCCAGACAAAGGCGGGTGGGTATTGGCTAGATCGTGCCACAATAACCCCACCTGTTGAGCTACTACGAAAGGTTTTTCTTGACCTGAATGCTGCAGAGAGAGACCTTCGCGAGTCTGGAAGCCGGGAAGTTGCTGTAGGAGGATTGATTGGATTGTTGCACGTTTTGAGAGTAATGTTTCTTCAAGACTCGGTAGTGCTACGTAGGCAATTTCCCGATCACCCTATTTGGAAAGACCCTTTGTTCATCTCAGGGAACTATGTGAGGTTTGAAGCGGAGGTGTTGCTTTCGTTGCAATCTTCGAACCAGCCCCAAGATAAGCGTCTTGAAGCAGCAATTCCGTCAGTAGCAGCAACGCTAAAAGTAGGTTTCGAAACTCTGCACGGAAGGATTAACAGCCTCGCCAGTGGATTAAGCGCATGGCGTCGTAGCTCTAAGAAAAAAGCTCGTGGTTTCTTTAACAGACGACTGTGGCGAAAGCCTAGAGCGTGGTGCCGACCAAGTATCTGACACTGTACAACCACGGCAAGATCAATTTCAAAGTCGGTGGGTAAAATGATTATAAGTCGCTCTCTGCAAACGGTAGATGAACTTGATAGATGTCACGGGTTTTAGGCAACGTTAGGCTTGTACGGAGCGAAGAGAAGAGTCACCTCTCGGGGGAAGACCGGAGCGAAGATACTTGAGGGGAAGAAGGGAGATTCCGAAGTGATTGATTTATCGGAGCTTACACTGTCCTCACTACCTAGGTCATCCAATCATTTGGTGCATCCAATCACCAACACTCGTCCAATCATCCTACACGTCAAATCATCGATTGCGTAATCAACGTACCGTAATCATCGCGGGATCGTGTTGGACCGGTTTGGTTACCGGTTTATGGGTACTTACCGTCTGAAACCCGTACCCCTCAATTGAACCTTGGTTAAAGTACTCTCGCGGCATCGGAGGGCATATATCCGTTCATGAAGCCGAGCAGCGATTCGGAAGCAAGTGGCGGAAAGTATTCACATAGAATCGTTTCTTCTCTCGACGTAAAGTTTTCTACGAAGCAATAAAGACGCTCGCATCAAGACGCCAGATATCGGAAACGGGGGCTGCATCTGAGCTAGAGGAAATGCGCAGAGAGGCAGGACAATCACTCAATCAGTTTGGCAAGCGAGTCCGAGCCCTTGTTCAATACATTATCGCACATAATAACTCGACCGCATTGCAAAACAAGTCGATCACTACCCCGAATAACTCAACCGCATTGCAAAACAAGTCGACCATCTTGCCAAATAGCTCAACCGCTTTGTAACTTGACTGCAATGATGAATATCTTGATCATAGCATGTAATATTTGACTGGACAGTCCTACCGAATAAAGTGACCATGTGGCAGAAACGCGCAACCTTCTTTCAGAATAACACAATCGTCTTTCAGAATTACACGACCGTCTTACAGAATATCTCGATCGTCTTACAGAATGTATCGACCGCCTCACATAATAATCGGACCATCTTACAAAATAACTCGGTCATATTACAAAATAACTCGACCGCCTTACAAAATATCTCGACCAAACGTGGAATAACTGGACCTCGTAAAATGCTAAATATCGAGAAAAATTTGCAAAAATCTCTGAGCATTGCTGCTTCCATTCATAAATCCGTCGGTGACCCCCCAGTTCTCTCTTCTTTTCTCTCTTTTTCTTCAAGCCATGTCTGAAACGAAGCGACACTGCGCTCAAGTCTCCATAGAGGTCAAGACAGCTAAGCTGAAGATCCGGAGGGACCTCCCTGAATGGAGCTCGGGAAGCCGCGAAGAACCATGGTGTAACATTGCTAGGGTGGAAGAAGTCATTTGGAACTCGCTTGATGACCCCGCTGTACTATGAAGCTCCGAAAAGCGCTAACGTGCTCAGGGAGGGGGGGGGGCGAAAGGCAAGACTGAAACCGTGCGAGCTTAGGATTTTGGAATACTACGATTCGTGCCGATGGTAGTACATGCACGCGTGGTGAGCTATTGCGCTGCGCGAGAAATAATATTTCAGATTTTGCGAAGGAGAAGCAAGGTACACAAGAGGGGTGGATATCGCGCTTCATTGTAACGATGCGACTTCACTGGCCTGCTATATCGCTGGATCTAGTGGTGGGGCTGAGGAATCTGAGTCTGGAGCTAATCAAAATGCAGAACCTGATGAATCTGAGTCTGAAGATGGGAAGAATTTTGTTATGAACAATCCAAAAATTCATATGCCACAAGACAGTGTGAACGAAAGTGCAGCCGAATGTCGTAATTAGGGCGCATGATAGTTTAAACTATAAAAACGATAGTTTAAACAGCGTCGCTACCAGTGGTCATGTCTCCACGTCAAGGTGGCGGCGACGTTGCTCGACCAGTACAGTAAAATCTCATGACGAATTCCACCTCCAAAAACAAATTTCGCGCCTCTCTTAATAAAAACGCTAATACGTGAAGAACAGAAGAACGCTTCGGAAACGGCGTAACAAAGATGACCCAATTTTGGTCTTTCTGTTCAATCTCCCGGACAAAAACCAGAAAGAAAGACTTCTTCGGCTTCCGCTCCACCAAGAAGATTTTGACAGTTTGAAACCTGGAGAATTTGAAACTAGGCGTATTGTGAATGGTCTGGTATACAAGCACATGGTCAGAATTGAAGGCCTTGTGTATCCATTCGATCTGGTATACTACACCGAAATTTCCTGCGCTTACAATCGCTACAAAGGTGGAAGTACGTGGTAGGAGAAGTGACTGGCTTCGTTAATTGGTCCACATACAAATTTGTGCTGCTGCCGATTCACTATGACGAACACTACAGCTTCATCGTGATCGAAACCCCACTTCAAATTGCTGGCACGATGTCCACTCCTTTCCGAGTTTGCATGGCCTGGCTCACATTTTTGTTGTGACATAATGATATTTGAAAGTGGAGCTGCGTAGACTTCACAATGGAGTTAAATCAACTGAGCCTCACCCTTTCGCTTACGCAATCACACCGCTTCAATCAAACAAACTGGATTGTGACGTTTACAGGTACATCGAGAATAAGAACCCAGACTCTTTTGAGGACAAAATGGACTCACTGACATCAGGCTCGTATAATATCTCCAAGGCAGATTGATTTCTCCAAAGGGCTCAAGGCTGGGAATCGGTTAAAATGGTCTAACGAGATGATTGCTGAGCGACTGAGACTTCGTTTCGAGGACGGTGACGTCAAGCACAAGCTGGAGAATGCTAAAAAACACACAAAAAGACGCAGACGGTGCTGGCCTTGCAAAATTGCGCTAGCGTGAACCTCCATGCAGTCATTAATATAGACCACAGCACGTGATTTTGAAACCCTCATTGTCGAGGCAGCCGAGTCCATAGTCCCCCCTTGCGCTAAGTAAAGCAAAAGCAAATGCAAATGCAAATGCAAATGCTTTACTTAGCGCAAGGGGGGACTATGGACTGTTAGAGCGAATCGTTTTGATAGCGGGCACCTACCGTTTGCTGCTGGTTTGCGCTTATACGCTGCGCGCTCCTCTTGATACATACGTAGGAATGACGTACGGTCATACCTAAGTTTTTTGTAAAACCAATCTGTATTTGACGCACGCAGCGCGTCCTCGAACGGGGTAGAAGAGAATGTAGAGACGGTCGATGCTGGACGTCTGTAGATTCGCTTGTCGAGTGTTGCGACCGTGGCCGCCGCAGCGCAAGCACTGAGCATCACTATCGCAGCGGCTATACCCTCGGCGTCCATTTACTATGTGCTTGTGTGAAAGTTTGTAACTGTGTAGCACAGCTGTGCTCCAGTCAGAGCACCTCTGTACGCGGTGACCGAAATGCACCGTTCCAGAACACTGAAAATTAAAAACTGGCTCAGTATACCATTTTAGTTTTGCCAATCAGAATCAGTACAGATCTCAGCACAGAATGCATTCCACCACTTGAACCAGGGCCTGAGAACGACAAATATACAACTAGAAAAAAAGATGCTACGGTGGCACTTTCGCAGTGTTAGTCGATACCAATCCTAAGATTCAGGACTTTTCGCCGTCACAAAATATTATTCAAGGTATGGATCCGTCATCTCGGAAGGATGATTTCGAGGAAGACAAGGAAGGGTTGATGTCCTATGTCTTAGCAGATACAATGGATATTTTTTGTGGCCAGGCGTTGCCCGATGACAAAAGCGCTACGAGGATTCCATTCTACTGCAGGGCAGCCCTTGTGCAGAAAAAAAACGAATACGCAATGGGCTGCACTTATCTAAATGGGCCGGCCGCTCTGGAGATCCCCCATCAATCTGCTCGCGAGCTGTTTCGAATCTTGCAGCGTCCAAGCTGTTAGTTGGTCTGCCCATTCGTAAGGAGAAGAGCTACAACAAGATTACTATGTTCGGCGTTGCAGCACTATTTTGCCGGCTTGGTCTACGACCCCACTCAGCCTGTGCGCTGTCGACGCAGATTGTGGCCAATCTTATGGGTGTACTTTATTACGTGGCGTTTATGAATAACACTCATATCACGAGCTACCCATCGGAGCCTGTGCTCGCGTTTGGTGCCGCACGGTTGTGGTACGAAATAGAGGACCAGACTGGTCAGCAGAAGACGACAGCACTGGACATGTACATGCTACCATACTTTCAAAATATGCTAATGCAACGTGTCATCGACATCAGTGATGTTGGCGAAGTTACTGTGCGCATTTTGTTATTGCTGGCGATGGACGCTGTTATCGAGGGAGAATCTACTGATAGAAGTGTTTCTATTTTCGTTGGGCAGTTTTGCACACTTAGAGAATTTCTCGACATCCTAAGCTGCCCTCCTCGAATAAAAATAATCACGTTCTTAAAGATTACCACAATTTCGAAATTCCAGCCACAAGGCGTGGGTGAACAAGTGGAAAGACCGGAAAATGAGTTTCAGTGAATTTGTGGACCTCCCGACGAACCTACGGAGGAAACATTGTGACAATTATTGTGCTGTCGTGCTGCTGGAGTGCTCCGTCGAAAGAAGGAGGCTTCAGATTTGATCATCCCGGTTTTCTTTGGCCCAGCCGTGTCTTTTATTTTGGTACAAGTGCAAAATCGAGAGAGAGAAACAAGATTTCTAACATCGGCCTCTTCCAAACTGCTTCCATCAAACGTATTCCACCATACGAATTCTCAATGTGTACGATGTAGAAAGCGGGGAAACGACTCTATGGAGAGACGGATACGCAGCCTTGCGATATGATTCCAATCTACACAAGTCTGCGTGCGCGACTACTCCCGCACAAATGTATTTGCATATATTATAACCGAACCATCTTCAGATCGAGCAAAGCAATTTCGAAAAGAAGAGGATCACGAAGATGCCGAAAATGCTCTATCTGGATACACATTGTGTCTTAGAGGCGTGTGTCGGCAGGTACAGGGCCCTGCTGACAGACCACGCGCTTGGTCTTTCCTATCGTCGACAGTGTCGACATACCTGAAAAACATAGCCGCCTCGTCGTGGTGGGACTTGGAGAAGCGAGTTCTGAGTGATCTAAAGAGACGCGATAAGTCCGCATGCGGCAGACAGAGTTGCATATTGTCCCAGCACGAGGTACTGGAGACGCTGGGGCACTCGATGCCATCCAAGCGAATTATTAGTGCAAATAATCGTAAGCGCTCGATAGCATCGAAAGAGGGTGCCAAAGCAAAGAAGCGTAAACGTTGAGCGTGTGCTTGCTCATTGAGTGATGAGAGCGCATTTCTACTAATTTAGGTGAGGTATATATTAATATGTATACTTCAAAAAGACAAGGTTAATAAGAGGTCGGGCTTGCATTATGCGCTATGAATTCCATTAAATTACAATTTATTGCTGAAATTTATTTTAGGGTCAGATACAGGGTATGTTTTTAAAATCCGGTAATTTATTAGTTGTGAGAATGATCGAAACAGCTTATGTACAGTACTGTAAGCTCTTACAAATGTCAAGTGGCTCAAAAATGAATCACTCTCAACTTAATATAATCCCGATAAAGTACAAATTACACCCGTGTCGTTTGGCCCGCCCACCTCAGCAAAGAACGGTAATATAATAGCCATCGGTAAGCGTGCACCAAGCAAATGTGCTTATTGCCCTCATCATCTAAAGGCACTATCAAAGAGCAGGCTTGTGTAAGAAATAATATTTTGCTCAAATATATTAGAAATGTTCTAGCGGAATTATCAGCACTTACTCCACAATTAATTTCTAAATTAATTAGTAAAGCACTGGCTGCAATGGTGCGGTCGAATGGAAGGCGCGGAAACCTTCTTGACGCCTCTATCATCTCCTTCCAAATGATCTAGGTAAACAAACCTTTTTTTTCGACCGAATTGCCTTCTCCAGCGAGGCCTCCACGAGAGCTACCCGTACTGATTTACACCAATAATTTGGGGAAGCTCGCAATACTGAAGTGAAGTCCCTAGAATACGACAAATTTAGCTCTATATTTAATCAGGAGGTCCTGTCCTATTGTAAACCATGCCAGTTTCTAAAAGGCTAAAAAGAAACCTCTTTTCAGCCAATCAGAAAGAGACAACGCAGCGTGTGCTTGCCTTGTACCTTCGTTTGGTAATCAAACTCAACTTTGTAACTTGAATGTGGCCCGTCACACACCGTCTTCTACTTGGAATGTGGTTTGGTCCACCACCGAAGAAAATCAAGAACATCGGGGTTCTTAACGTTCTAAGCGATCACTTGCCAAGCCGAATCGAGTCGTTGTCGCAGCATTTGTCAGATGCGGCACGCACCAGTTGGATCTAAGAATCGGGCTTTACGTCGGAGTTGCTGACTCGTAGAAATTGTCTTTGGTCAAGTTGAAGCCCTCGAGATCCTGGTGGTAGAACCACCGACCGGGATATAGCGACTTCATACAGGAGGTGCTCCTAGAAACTATTTTGCTAGCTGGACGATAGCAAATTGCCAACTGAGGCTGGTAGTCAAGCTCTTCTGCCATTGAAAGGTGAAGAGATAATAGTAACCAATGATACCCGCCGATTCGACCTCTTAGGTGAGCAACGCCCAGCTGGCGCATTCGTCATTACCTCAACCTTCGCGCCTTATATAGCGAAGTCGGTAAAATCGATATACAAAGTTCAACCCTGTTAGCAAAGCGAGCCTGCATAAATTTGCCATTTCCTGCTTCTAACAAGGCGCTTCGACAAACTGATAGGTAACCCCGCAAAGCTGACATCAACTAGCTATCGCACAGCAACGTTAGCATCGTTATCATGCAACCTTGTGGCGCCCTTTTGCAGCTGTGTAGCACCCGGAACGTCAAGAATAATACCGCCGAGCTCATAAGCAACAAACCGGATTAATTCTCCTAGGCCGGGATCTTTCGAATTCGAAAACGACTGCATGCTCTCTGCAACCCATCATGCTACTAGACCATTAGCATTTACTGGGCCTGCGTAATTATCCTACGTAATCGCTTCAGTGCCTCGTCAAACCTTTTGGGGGCGTCGTTTTGCAAATGTCACAATTGTCTCTGCTACTCGTGATGTGTCTTTAGCAGCGCATTCATATGCTATTGCTCCATGTACTGTCGAGGATCCCTGGCTGGAAGTCACGTTATGCAGCTTCAATTATTGCAATATGCATATGAGGCGCCTTTGGAGGTTCGCTTCTGTCCGTGTGGTGACGTACTTTTTGATCTAGCACTATTTGAAATGACTGGAGCTCATAAACATGAGCGGTAAATAATTTGTACTATGTATTGAAATAGCAAGAACATTTTTTGTACTGACTGGAGCTCATAAACCTGAGTAACCTGCATCACCCCGCCAGTTTATCGTGGGTTGAGGTATACAAAGCGGTTGAAGTCCACGGTGCGTGCGTTAGATATCTGTAATCTAAGTAGTTTTTTGCAATTGAGCCGAATGGCAGTGGCCCGGGCTAAGACGTTTTGGCCGGGATAATATCCGCAAAAGACATGCGCCGACACTCAATCTGATTGGTCTCAATAGTGAAACCAAGTCAAAAGTCGTATTCTCAACATTGTCGGCTCGACACTTTCATAAATCTCGCGAGTGTCTGGGTTCCGGTCGCCTGTCCGTAGGCTGAATGATCCATTAAAGTTTAGCACCAACGGGTCAACGACGATAGTGAGCGTTGAGAAGCGGTGTGTACTACTGTAACGGGGTACTCCACAATGTGAACTAATAGGCGTTAGAATCCCACCCGAGTTGCGACGAAGCATATGTTAGTTTTTCATCGATTTTTTCAGCTCTAAGCCAATTGTTGCTCTATTACCCGCTACTTTGTAATCTAGCGCTGGTTTTAAGCAGCGCTAGAAATTAGTAAAATCATTTGAAGTCACTTTGTTATTGTATCGAAAACTTAACACGCTGCCACACGAGATAACTAAGCCCAGAATCTTATCTCCTTTCTAAGCCAAACAAACCTTGGCACGCTGCAGCATTCTACCGTTGTCCAGGCTCACTGCTCTATTGCAGATTGAACCGAGTAGCCATAAAAACCGACGTCTCCAGTCCAGTTGCACTTAGACCTGAAACCGTGTCACTGCAAACGTTTGCTCAAGAGACCTACTACTCTTCACACTCCTGCTCGGCCATCACTTCATCCTCGCCCAGCTCCATCCAGATCCCGTGCCTCAGCATATAAAGCAGGCCAACGCCATTGCGACGTCCCCCTCCGCTTCGCACCTCGTACACCTGTATGATCTCATGCTGAACCTATCCCCGAGCGTATTGAAATACCAACCACAATAGAAGTACAAAGTTCAAAACGTCTCGTCGAGATACACCTCGGGACGCACGGAGCTTTACGGCTGTTCAGGTTTGACACCTTTTTCCACTACTGCGTTCTAAGCGCAACATTTGCCGTAGTTTTCGCCATAATATTGCAAGACTTGCCCGATATAAATCGGATTCCCATCCTCCTAAGCACACGACGTAGTGAGCGCACCGATACCACTATGTCATGGTCTTTCCTTTTTTCGCTAGCTGTGGCGCTGCAACAAGCTTTCCGCTCTTGTTCATTCTCGGTACTAGCTCACACACGCGAGTCTGTAATCTTTCTCCATGTCTACGAGGCCTCTCGGATGGAGTCGGACCTATCATCTGTCATATTTAATATCACGACCAGTGAAATGCTAAATATCAATATAGGTAGTTCAACCTACCGAGGTGAAACGTTTGTCGTGTTGCTGCTCCCAGTGCGCCCATATAGCTGGAGTGGTGCCCGTAGCAAAGCCTAAACACTCCTTAAGATGATAGCGTACTCTTCCTTTCCATGAATTCGGTGCTGAGGCTTTTTTTTTTGGCGCAGGAACTTGTACGTCTCACAACCAAGGGCTTCTCAGCAGCAGTCAATTTCTTTCCGGCGACCATTTGGAAAGTAGTGAACATTATTAGATGCAGTGAAGTTTCTACGAGAACATATAGACACCAAGCTTTCGATTGCGGGGGCACACAGCTAAATCGCTGCTACGGTTGCCGAGTAACGTTTTTCTAATCGAATACAAAATAAATTACCATTTTTGTCCACCATAATTGCCCGGCACTCAAAACTCCTGAGAGTGCATATGCTAAATCGAAGATGTCTTTAGTAATGCATATTCGGAATAAAAGTTTGGTCGGTCAAACGAGCAGTCCACTACATGTACCCGTCCGATTCGTGTTTGGGTGGCCGCCTCGTGTGTAGAGTTTCAGCTCCATCTGCAATGATATCATCTTCTTTAGTCGCTCTATCATGTATCCACCAGCACTGCTTGTGGCTCGCCTTGAGGCGGTAGTCGCAAACAATACGAAGATGGAGAAACGGACGATGGACGCGAGTACGGACATAGCCTCGGCAATCGCTACTACGGATACGTTGATGCGCTTCCTAGCTCTGTAGACCATCGAACGCATGGCAAAGGGTATCGCGCCTGGCAAAGGGTATCGCGCCTGGCACCAAAATCGCTGACCGAGAGCAAACGCCGTGTATGGTATGGGCTGATAGCAAGCAGAATTGGGCGAAACAGTCGACAAAGAACACCGGGGAGCACGAACCGATCGAAAACGTTGGAGGGATTATCAGCAGTGACCGGAAGGGTCCGATGACGCTACTTGACCGCCAATGCAGCTGCTATATGATCAACGCCGTGGATCGCAAGTCAAACTATTGGAATGTGTTTACAGCAGAAAAGAATAACCTGGCTGCAAAGATGCTCGAGGAATTCTCGTTGGATTCGAGAAACGGTTCGGTTGTCGTGTACACGTTCTCTGTACGGACGGTAGGGAAGAGTACCAAAACGTGGATCTCTTTTGCAAAGTGAACGGAGTGGCTGTCGGGTGCCTGAGGTCGTAAACCAAGCTGTGAACGGCACAGCCGAGCGGATGCATCGCACAATCTATTACACGGCTCGATGCATGGTGTTTGGCGAAGGATTGCCGCTGAGTTTATGCGGCTGAGTACGCCGCGTACGTGCTGAACCAAAGCTCGTTACTTGTACCCTGTTTTTGGTTGATTCATCCTTGTCTACAATGACTCATCTTCGTGGCGTACTTGTCATTGTCGCGAAACGCAGCGCACTTGGATCCGTAAACAACGATGTTACGAAGGTTCGGCGCTTGTCCAGTCAAGACCTCGAGAAGCGACTTCAGATCCTCATTGCTAAGTTATTTTAGATGTTCTTAATTCGCGCTTGGTAACGGTGAAGAGAAGTTGGAACGAGGCTT